CAGATTGTAGACATAGACAGACATTCATCACACACGATAATTGGGGGACAATTATAAACACCGAACACACCTTCCGATCACCTCGATCCTCTGCGGTAGTTATAATGGAAATAAAAAATGGCTGAAATAGTTTTATATTTATCTGCAATCAGAGCCAGAGATTATAGAATTATATATATATATCAATACATTCTCTATATATTCTCCGTCTCCTATATATTCTCCGTCTCCTATATATCCGTCTCCTATATATTCTCCGTCTCCTATATATTCTCCATCTCCTATATATTCTCCGTCTCCTATATATTCTCCATCTCCTATATATTCTCCGTCTCCTATATATTCTCCATCTCCTATATATTCTCCGTCTCCTATATATTCTCCGTCTCCTCTATATTCTCCGTCTCCTATATATTCTCCGTCTCCTCTATATTCTCCGTCTCCTATATATTCTCCGTCTCCTATATATTCTCCGTCTCCTCTATATTCTCCGTCTCCTATATATTCTCCGTCTCCTATATATTCTCCGTCTCCTCTATATTCTCCGTCTCCTATATATTCTCCGTCTCCTATATATTCTCCGTCTCCTATATATTCTCCGTCTCCTATATATTCTCCGTCTCCTGTATATTCTCCGTCTCCTGTATATTCTCCGTCTCCTGTATATTCTCCGTCTCCTCTATATTCTCCGTCTCCTGTATATTCTCCGTCTCCTATATATTCTCCGTCTCCTATATATTCTCCGTCTCCTGTATATTCTCCTTCTCCTCTATATTCTTCGTCTCCTATATATTCTCCGCCTCCTGTATATTCTCCGTCTCCTATATATTCTCCGTCTCCTGTATATTCTCCGTCTCCTATATATTCTCCGTCTCCTATATATCCGTCTCCTATATATTCTCCATCTCCTCTATATTCTCCGTCTCCTATATATTCTCCGTCTCCTATATATTCTCCATCTCCTATATATTCTCCGTCTCCTGTATCTTCTCCGTCTCATGTCTTCTCCGCCTCCTGTATATTCTCCGTCTCCTATATATTCTCCGTCTCCTGTATATTCTCCGTCTCCTATATATTCTCCGTCTCCTATATATCCGTCTCCTATATATTCTCCGTCTCCTCTATATTCTCCGTCTCCTATATATTCTCCGTCTCCTATATATTCTCCATCTCCTATATATTCTCCGTCTCCTGTATATTCTCCGTCTCCTGTATATTCTCCGTCTCCTATATATTCTCCGTCTCCTCTATATTCTCCGTCTCCTGTATATTCTCCGTCTCCTGTATATTCTCCGTCTCCTCTATATTCTCCCTCTCCTATATATTCTCCGTCTCCTCTATATTCTTTGTCTCCAATATATTCTCCGTCTCCTATATATCAGTCTCCTATAGAGGAGACTGAGAATATATAGGAGACAGAAAATATATGAGGCGGAGAATATACAGGAGA